GGTAGAGTAATTTAACACAAATACGAAAGTGTGCATATTTGTTTAATAACTTTAGTGTTTATTCATCTTTAGTGCACTAGGGAAAATAACAGTTTCCATTTTCTCGAAATAACTCAAGTATCAGACATTACAGCAATGGTATCAACTTCACAAGTGTTTGAGGATGATCGAGGAAGAAACAAAAGAACAAATTAGTATTACAGTTGAGTGACGGAACTGAGGCTGGAAGAAGGAAAACAAAAAAATTGTTGGTTGAATAACAAGGAGCCAGGATGATCGAGGAAGAAGAACAAGAACTGAATATATTGGGTTGTGGAATGAGGCAGAAGAAATAGAAAGGTTGGTTGAATATGTGGAGCTCAGGGATGATCCCCAGGAAGAAACAAGACAGGTATATTGGAGTTGGTGACGGGAATGAGGCGAAAAGAGGAAAACGTAAATTGTTGAGGTGTTGAATAGCGTAGTGAGCCCTCAAACAGAATGAAGTGCAAGCCACAATCAGGGAACACTTTACAACATTAGGCACTGATAGGTGGCCTTTACTACATAAGTATGCCCTCAATGTCACTTTTATTTATTCACCCATAATTGAACATCAAATCTGTTTTAACGTGTCATGCTTAAATATCTGCATACATATAAACTATTAAAAATACTTTATGATCTTACCCTCCACGGATCATCTGAGGTTTAATCATTATCATTATTCATTTATCATTCTTATCTGAGCTTACATAACTGATTATACCAGTATAGTAACACGTAAGTTCCATAGCAATAAATAACTGTAAACATCTTGTTTGCGTTGATATATCAAAAAATGTAAGCCCTCCCTAATGCTGCTAAGCCCCACCAATCTCTCAAATCGTGGCAGCTCTTTCAAATGCCCATTCAAATGTTTCCAAACTCGTCATTACCAATTATTTACCGCCGTTCTAGATGGCACTCATGGTTGCTTTAGGTGAGACAATGAGTAGTAGGTCACCTTCATGCTGGTGTCTCCTTCCCATGTTAATTTGTCATAAGCTAAAAATTCATTAGATTATTTTTCTCACCATTCGCCACTCCTCCACTCCTTATAAAGAATAAAAGCCACAATAAGGCTACGTATTGAAGTTAAGGATACAAAGTTTTCTAAACAAGAAAATCCCATTTTGTCTTGGTAGCCACTCGACCCGTCACCTTCTCACACCTCATAAGAAGCTGGTAGTGTTATTTGTGAGAAATATTTTCTAGTCCCACACCTGGAACCATACACAAAGCTAATGAAATGAGACTTTGGCGCGACAACAAGACCAAATCCATTTACAAGGCTGAAGGAGAGATCCTCTAAGTGAGCTGGCCAAAAAGCGAGGAACTTAACACAATCTTTGCAGGATATGCAGACCAAGAGACAAACAAAGTCACGAACTGCAAGACCAAAGGCGCAAAAACGATAAAACCACAGACGATAATGCCGAAGAAAAACTCAATCCGGCCGCAAAAAGATTGCTTATCACGTCTTTATTTAAGACAAAATTTTCCAAAAACAAAAGTCAAAAAAAAAAAAAATCAATAATAAAAATAAGAAGATAAAACTCAAATATATGAATGGGAAAACAAAATAGTGAATTGCATTTATTTATATTAAGAGTTGATTTTTTGCAGTATCGACTCTGTTTTTGCAGAGTGGCGCTTTGCCATGTTGTTGCAAAAAAGTTTTAACAAAATGGTGGTCGCAAAAACAAATTACATTACCCTGATGAGTGTTAAGGAATGGGTGGTGGTGGGTGGCTTCGTTGTTGATCAGGTGCATGGTACATGGTTAGGTGGGGTAAGTTGGGGTAACAAGGAAATCGCAAACTGTTGCCGTCCGCTTTTTATCTTCTGACAATCGCGGGTGAAGCCCTGACGCTAAAAGGGTTATGTACTCACGCCAACTTTGGATGGTATCCAAATGTATCTTTTTTTATGGAGATTAATGTGGCGATTTCTGGTCTTATTATTTGAAAATAAATTGGTAAGATAGACAGATAGCACCTGGAAATAGCTATTATAACAACAGTAGTGCAATTTTTAAATGGATTTTCATTCAAAAATTGTTTGAATTTATCTTAAGTTTTAGTTGCATTTGAAATCCGTTTACATATTTAAATAAAATACATAATAAAATGAATTACAAAACCAAAGAGGGGCCCCCCGCCGAAAGTAGCCAATTTCGTTTCTTTGTTTTCATACTATTTTCATTATATTTTTGTTTTTATTTTTATTTCTTCTAACGTTTTATTTTTTGTGTCATCTGCAATGATCGATCAGACGCACGGGGATCTGGGCTATCCAGTTTGCCTTCTCTGACTTCGTTGTTAGTATTGCTGTTTTGCTGTTTTGTTGTTGTTTAAACACCTCACACACACACATACACATATACACATATTGACATCATTCACATTTTTCTTGTCTGGGATTCGAGGGCATTGTATTTTGTAGCCATTTACAGACCCCAGTTTCGGTCTTATGCAACTGGAAAATTCATTTTCTGTTTTCAGTTTTTGGTTTTCATTTTTGGCGACGCATGATGGAAAATGGTTCAAAAGGTTACTTCATTGGGGACCCCACTACGGTGGTGGCGAGGTTTTCCTGTTTTTTGTCTCTGCCCTCATACCCTCTCACCTTTCTCTCTCTCTCTATTAAAGGAAAATAATTTTAAAGTCACCCCATTGCTTTGATATCTCTCCTTTGATGGGTTTCCCAAAATCTTTATGTTTGCACTTTGTGAAGCTGAGTTTAAGAGTAAATATTAGATGGCTACCCGAATGCTTAACCCTAAATTATATTCCTAAACATTGTGATCTCTGTGTAGGAAAGGCAGCAATGACTGTCCAAAATGAGAAACACAATTGAGTTCTTGACTTATATAAAATTGTTACAAAAGAAGCAATATGTAATTGCTCGTTATTTAAAGGGAATAGAGAAAAGATTTGGTTTAAAAAAAGTTCACATTTTTGGGGGTAAAAATGATATTTGGAAAGTTTTATTTAAGTTTGCTAAAATGTGTTGAAAATACAAAAAAATGCAAAACCCTTTAGGAGCTATTATTTAACTTTTCGATTTATTAATTTCAACAACACTCCTGCGTAGTTAACATCCTTGACATGCTCTTCATTGGTATGTCCTTTTTATGACCACTTCAGACCCGGTATCGACAGCTCGCGATAGTTGTTTGGTTTTAGGTGTTCAGTGACAGCGTTTAGTTAAATTTTGGGTGAGACACTTACAGGTGGTACTCAACTAACACATAGCTGCCACTTATACCCCCTCAAAACCATTCCTCACATCCAAGGGGGCAAGTGTCTGTCTGTCGGTCTGTCCCTCTGTCTTTGCTCATCTAAACTAACAATCGTCAAAGTGTGGCTGCAACAGCAAAAACATTATGCTAGCTGCAAAGTGGATACTCAGACTCGTGCATATATAGTATGCCATATATAGCCTTCTGCCCTCTCAATCCTTGGGTCCCTTGGTAATGGTAGGTTTGACTTTAGAGGGTATAAATGTAGTTCTGGTCTTTAGATTTTTATAACGATTTTTGAGTTTAAACTTAATTATTTTTGGTTTTTTTTCCAGATTTTAAAGTTTACTCTCTACTTTAAAGAAAAGAAACTGTTTTTTATTTAAACTTTCGAAAACGTTCTGTTTTTCCCAGGAAAAATACAATTTTACCTTAAAATTTCAACACCTTTTTAAAGGTCTTCGAAAAAAAGTAGATGTTAGTTTAATTAGCGGGTATTTTGTGGTCTTTTTTTCTGTTCTCTCTAATTCTTTTTGGTTGGCACCTCGGCGCTCTGTTGACGTCATAATTAGAGACAGAAGCCGACACAGGTGCACATGACTTGGAAAAACAAATTGCATTGCTCTCGGGCTAGGGCAGCCAGCCACCAACCCAGCCACCTAGCCATGCAGCCACTAGCTCACACCCACCTGAAAAGTTCCACCTGTGGCAGATTTGTGACACACCGAATAACCTATTCCGCCCTATAAACCCCATCCCCTTACCTTGTCAACCCCTTCGTGTGCTAGATTTGTACATTTTCGTGCTACATTTTTAATTTCTCTGCATGGAAGGAAGGTGGTTTGGTTAGATGGGTGGCTCTCTCTCGTGGGTGTGCTGAGAAAACTCATTAACTGTGCACGCTACTTGGCACCTTTTCTTCTTCTCCCACTCTTTGCTTTCTTTGGCCGCCTTTTTCACCATTTATTCCTTCCCCTTTCAATTTTCTTTCTTTTCGCCTTGCCTTGTCCTCGCTTTCTTCATTTATTTTATTTTTCACTTTCTCTCTTTTTATTTTTGCCAGTTCTTACGCTTTTCCATTTGTGGGCGAAGGTCGCTAAACTTATTCGGAAAAAAAAGAAGAAGAAAAAATTCAAATTGACTCCTTAATAGGTGGGCGTGGTCATGTGCGTGTGTGTGTTGGGTATTTGTTTGTGTGAGTGTACACACGATTGCACAATAAGCCGATTAATTGGTTGCAGAGGGTAAGCGAGACCCTACATTAAATCGAGCACAAATGTATGCAAGCGATGTATGGAGAAATGTTAGAATAAGGGGGGCTAAGAAGACCAAATATATTGAGTTCAATTATTTATAAAATAAACATAAGTAATTTAAAGTTGTTAAACAAAAGAAAGTTCTTGAAAAATTACTCATACGCCTTGTTGTATAACAGTTACTAATCCTTGTCTAACTTTCTCTCTCTTTACAGAAATGACTGAACTTTCATCCTTCAACTTCTACGTTTATCCATAAGTAAATAAAATACCAAAGACAAAGCCTGTTATAACAAAAAAGAGTAAAAGTTGTTAAACAAAAAATAACCTTATATTTCCCATAATTTAAAATCAATTTAAAGTTTAAAAGTAAACTCAAACGCACAACCAAGGAAAAAAAAAAAATAAAATCAAATCCATTAAAAATACAATAAAACAGTTGGAAAACACACACACACACACATACAAACTAAACCAGCAAAATCAACAATAATAAATGTTGCAAATTTAATCAAATCAACTGAAAAATTAAACTAACTAAATTTTATGCAAAATAGAAATGTTAAATTTACACAATAGAAACCACAATAACAGCGCCAACAACAATAATAACAAAGGCCACAAAATGCATTTGAAAAGTGCAACAACGGCAAAGGCAACAATAATGAAACATAAGTTAAGCAAATTTTATGGATTACGGTTGGTTGCAAGTCTTCCTACTACTACTAACAGTCCTAGTGATTGGTAATCAAAGTGCCCACAGGGGAGAATATACGACCAAAGCTCTACGTTGAATTAGGTAAGTTAACTCTCAAAGAATTTATTACTAAAAATAAACATTTATTTCTGTTTTCTCAAACAAACTATTTAAAAACTTTATAAATTCCCATAAAAGGTACATTTTTGTGGTCAACAAACTTAGGAATTCGTTTAATTTAGTCACAATATTTGTACATTTTTGCAACATTCTATTTTTTTCCTTGTAAATTCACAAGAAATACAATTTACATATTTATTGGAATTTTTCCTTTGCCATAATCAAATTTATTCGTCATATTTCAATGTCAGTCAAAGGAAAAACGTCAAGAGAATTGGCAATGTCACAGGGCGAAGGCACATTCTCATTGTAACCAAATTAAGACTAAAGCAAAATGTCAATTTAAATTATGACCAATAATAGATGTAGAATTGGAATAGCAGAGGGAAAAGCCAACGAATCGAAGTCAACTGCCAAAAACTTTAATGACAACATTTTTATGAGCTACAAAATGTAATTTGACTGCCACTCTCCAAGCTCTGCTCTATCCTTGCAAATGGCAATGGGAAGTCTGAAAGATAGTTGCAGATATTCTGTTAAAGTTTGACATCCCCAAAAAAAAGAAAAAAAGAATAGTGAAAAAGCTGGGCCAACCCAATAACGCCCCCCAACTCATCAGGAAACCTTTTTGCCATCCTTCGAAAGTATCCACTTTTGGCAGGTGAAGAAGTTTGCTCAAGAAATGAAGCAATAACTTGGACAAAGCGTGTGTGCAGGAGCAGGAGAAGGAGCCGTAGCAGTAGCTACTAATGCACACACTTTTTGAGATATATCCCAGACATCCACACGTTTTGCTATCTTAACTATAAATAACAAAAATTCCTGGAAGACATTATTTGCATAAAAGTGGCGAAGCTTTCAGTGCTGAAATGAGTCTGCTATGTCTGTCAGTGTGTGTGTGTATGTGTGGATAGTTGGTGGGCTGATGGGTTGGTTAGCTGTTGCCAGCAGCTATTTCTAGTGTCCTGTGTGTGTCCTCAATGTGCGACATCATCATCATCATCATCATCGTCGCCTTCATGATCGTCGTCAGGAGTTACGTTGCATATGCAAATTTCGTTCCTTACCCATTTTTTTTCTTTCTTATTTTGGCCAAAAAGTTGGGCGACTTCTTCATCTCGCTCACGTAGGTTGGAGACACAGATATATGTATACCTAACAATATATATAGGAACATGTATATTTATACGGTTTACTATGGTACATAGCCCTAGATACATATGTATATATCTGGCACCGCTTTTTTGTTTGTGCAAGATGAAGCAGAAAAAGTTGCCGGCAGCAGATGGAGATGGAAAAAATTCGAGGCGAGCCTGGAGTTTGCCCAAGAAGGAGAAGATGAAGAAGAAGAAGAAGTAGAACTAAATTCTAAAAATATCTTTTGCACGCTTCAGAAATTACGTTATTAAATGTGCATTTGGCACACTCTAAAATGGTACCAGCAGAGGGCAGTCTACCAGCCATAATGTTGCATTCTTCAAGACAACTTTTTGGTATCAAAAATTATAGGGGAGGGAAATCGTTCTTTCGAGGGTTGGCATTAGATTCCTTGGGAATGCCAGGAAGTAGTTCAACCGAATGTGTTACCTTAACTATGAATTTGAATTGGGCAACCTTTATGGGAAAAGATATGAAATGAAATGGCTAAAAGGAAATTTCATGATCAGGAAATGAATTCTGTAGTCCGGAAATTGAATTTTTGAATGCCTCTATTTTTGTAAGTAAAGCTTTGCAACTAAGAAAATATCAGAATTAGTATGTATATATAATGATTATATAACATTTTTTCTGATATCTCAAATTCTCTGTGAAATTTTCCTATCCCTTCCGTGCAATTTGCAATTTCTTCATGCTCAATATCTCATTAGGAAACTCATTTCTCTTCGCCAACTGCTGTTGCCAACTGGAATGAACATTTTTTTTTGTTATTAGTTTAGCTGTAAAATCAACTCAAGGATAATCTGTGAAGCGAACCTGTTAAGCTCCTGCCACCCTCTCCCCGCTACCCGTGCAGTGCTAAACCAATTACTTAGCTCCAAGTCCCTTCATTCCGCACTGTCAGGGGACATTGCACGTGTTAAAGTTCATTTAAAATCCATCAGGGAATCCAAAGAGAAAGAGAGAGGGAGAGTGGACATGGAAAAAGGGGTGGCTGGTTGACAAGTTCTTCTTCTTCTTTAGCCTGTTTGGGGCACTCGTGCATAACAGGAAAATAGGGTTAATGGGGAAATTATGAATGCGCCCAAGGAGGTGCAGACCAAATGAGCAAGGGTGTTCGGCGAATATGTGAGTGGGGGCCATGCATTCATATGCCATTGTTGGTCAAAAGAGCGAAAAAAAGGGGAGACACTAAAAGTTGAAAGAGTCGACGATGGTGTACCTATTATCAAAAGCCTCAAATGTGTAATGTAAAGATGTGTTTAATAATATTTATTTTTACGATATTTGAACTTTCATTTTTTAAAGCCTTTTTCCATTCACTTTTTGTGGAAAAAGCTGATGATAAACATTAAAATATACTCTCATTTACTGGGTACAATAAAATCCAAACCAGCCCTTAACTTTTTTCTGCAACGCAGTCTTCTTCTTCTTTCGCTGCGCTTGGACCGTAAAAATATTACAACCCTGCGGCCAGAGTTGCATTTGACAGCCGCAAGTGGTTGTCATTAGAGCTGCGACAAAACGGTCATTTAAATGCACTCTTCTTCTGGCTGTCCCCTACTGCTGCTGCCGCTTCTCTCTTCTTCTTCTTCTTCAACTACTTGTACGCCAAAGTGGGCGCAACATTTGCGGTAAAATTACGTCTATCAAGTGGGCGGTGGCAGCAAAGGGGCCAGAAGCTAATGCTGATCGTTTTGCGGCACTTTCGCGCTGCATTCTCCCCAAAGCAACTCGAAATGTCCCCTTTCTTTTTTACGTTAAATTTTGTGGACATTTTGTAAAATGTTTCTTCTGCTTATATATATTTTGGTACGTGCCGAGATTTCCTGATTACCACAAAGGCAATCTGTGACTAGTGACTAAGTCTCTGATAAGGAAGAAAATGAATTCAATGTAAAAGGAAATTTGGTTATAAGGATAAGATATTTCTGTCTTATTTCTAAACCTCTTTTTATATCTTGAACCAAACTATCCATAAACAAAATCATAACCAATTTAAACTTGTCATTATTTAATTAACACCTAGGAAAATTGATCAGGTTGTGACTTTTAAATTAATAATTTCCGCTCAATTTAACCTCCTGTGGGTGTGGATGTCGCCCAGAAGCTGACCAAAGTGGCCCAGCATCGACTTTAAATGACACGAACTTCCGTTGGCAGCCAATTAGGCGAGCGAAAACTACATTACTCAAGTTAAACACTGAGAAAAATCTGGGTATAAGTTAAAGTTTTTAGTAAAATATGAATTAATATATAAATTAAGTATTAGAAACTCGAAAAACCCAAGAAATGTGAAACAAATTGAAATAATTTTGAAGTAAATTGAGAAGCTTAAAAAGGAAATAAAGTAAAGTGGCTAAATTTTAATGGAAATAGATAGGTTTCAGGAACTTCAGGAACTTAGTTCAGATAACCTTCTTATTCTGTTATAAACTAAAAATGATAAAGAATAAATAACTTTTCATCAACAAAAATAATAATATAATTATTTCCGTGTAAGGACAGCCTTTACCCCCAACCAACTTACTTCCTGTTTGAAGCCAATGTTTTGAAGACTCTCTGTGCGGCCTGCGCTTCGAAGTTGCCCAAAAATAGTTCTGTCGGCGACGTCTTCGACTTGGCTGTTTTTCTGGCCGTCATTAAAACTGTCTGCAACGTGTCAGAACAGCAAACATAACTGTTAATTGCCATTTGTGCGCGAAGTCGGAATTCCGTGCCCCCCTCATTTTCCGGTTTTACCCGGTTCCGCCGGCACTTCGGTCTCATTTTCATATTTCGCCGCATGCGCCTCATTACAATTTAATTCACAATGTAATTGCAGGCGTTGAGTGGAATGAGAATGGTTTCTGGGAATGAAAGGGTGGCAGTGGAAGTGGCATGTAGTATGTAGAGGGGGGCGAACTAAGCAAGGGAAGGTGAGGAAATGCAACCACCGACTTGGCGAAAAGTTTTCTTGCAGTTTTGCGCCACTTGACACGCGCCTCGCATAATTTCCACACGTCTTATGCCTGTGTGTGTGTGTGTGTGTGCCACAAAGCACAAAGCGCACATATACATACTCGTGCATACATATGTATGCACTCTGCTCCAGCCCATAATTCTCAACCCCGAAGAGCTCCAACATTTGGCCCACGTTTCATTTCCTTGCCATATGCATTTTTGGCAGTAGTTGAAAGTCGAAAAGGGCGGAAATGCGACAACTACAAAAATGTGTGTCCTCCTCACCCCGTAAAAATCCAATCTCCATCGAACTTTTGTTTAACTTTCTGTCTGGCTTTGTTTCCTCTTCACTTGTCCATATTTACATATAGTTTTGATTCCATTTATATTTCGGTTAAATAAATTGTGAATTGATAATCGCCGCTGTCATCGTTTGGCTCTGTCTATATTTAGATTTTTGAAATGTGTGAGACGCATTGTTAAATTGCTGATAGAGATTACGTGGGATTACGTAAGCTGAAGACGAAATGGGAACTCATTGATGGGGAAAGCTTGACAATGAAGTTGTTATCTCACTAGAAGAATTTTTATTACATTTTTTATTATTTTAATAATGTAGACTTTTGACCTTCTATTTGAAATATGGAAATGTAGGCGTGTTAATGAATGGTACTGCTCTTTTCTGTGGCCCAAAACGAAGTCATCTTTTTTCCTTTTTCTTATTCTATCCTCACCTAAGGAATGTGCTGCTCTCTTCTGTCACCCGAAGTCGTTTTTATTCCTTTTTATTATTCTATCCTCACCAAATTTCTACAAGTATTGGTGACATTTGCTGATCGTGCGAACAGGATACACATAGTGTTCGTTAGCATGATATTTAT